GTGTGTGTGTGTGTGTGTGTGTGTGTGTGTGTACTACAATGACATTATAAATAATTAAATAAATATTTGCTGCCCCTTGTTGTGCAGGTGGAATCATCCAAACCAGGTATCTGAAAGCACAACTAACTGCTCAAACCAGAAGAGGGAGCTAGAGATGCAGCCCTTCGTGCACAAAGTTGAGCCTAAGGAGAACAAGAATAATGGAGATTACACGGTTATTCCCTTGGACGACGCTCCAGATAATTTTTCATCTGACTGAGGCTGTGAGACACGAGGAGTTGAAAACTGATCAGAGGAAAGGAAATGTACGGACCATCGAGCACAAGTTTTCTTATTATTTTATAGTGGACTTCCACAGTTTATAGTGTTGTCTGGCAGAGAATTATGGTCTGTTTTGCTCACGCTGTCTTTCAAGGACTTTCATCAAAGCATTACCAGGAAAATATAATTATATAATGTATTTTAGCTGATATATTTATTGCGACAAAAATGACTTTTTTCAACATAGAAAACGTTTCAGGTTCAGTATGTTCGTCCTTTATTTCAAGTCAAAGTGAATGCACTTTTACTGTACATCCATCCATTTTCTTTACCTGCTTTATCCTTTCCGGGTCACGGGGGAGCTGCTGATTATTTCCAGTGAGAGACGGGGGGTACACACAAGTCCCCAGTCCATCACAGGGACCCATAGAGACCAACATCTATTCTCACTCTCGCTCACACCTTGGGAGAATTTAGAGTTACCAATTAAAAGTAGCATGCATGTTTTTGGTTGATGAGAAAATAAMAACCTGTGAAGGCCCAGTGAAAATCCATGCATGCACAGGGAGAGCATGCAAACTTCACACAAAAAGTTTGTTCACTGTATTTTTTTAAGTGTGTGTGTTTTTTTTTCTTCCAATGGTATTGTGATCTTCAKTGTAATTTTATTAAAAAAACTATTTTTGTGGATTGTAACTTATATGAAGCTGCCTGGTTGCTCTCCTGCCTTCGTTATGTAAGCTCAGAGCTGAACCTGCATCTTAATTGCTCCTCTTGACACCCACACAGCGCTTGGAATGCTGTAAAAAACACTCACCTTCGCTTATACGTCCCACGTTTTGCGGGAAACAAACACGACGGCACCTCATCAATAAACATTTATTTGTCTTTCATTAAGTATTTACACTCAAGTGTTAAAACATTTACACACTTTGTGTCCATTTTCTCAAGCAAATGCTTCTGTACTTGTGAAAGACAAGCACTGGACCATGAAACCCATTCTTTCGAGTTCTGTTTGCATTTAGTCTCAGTCGACACAGTTCAGCATCGCAAAGAATGACAGACAATAATACCTTTTAGGTCTAAAATGGACAAGGATAGAAATGAAAGTTGAAAGATAAAGAAAACGTATCAATTGGTAGAAAACAATGAAATGAGAGAGGATGACTAAGAAAGTTTTACAAATTCAGCTGTTGCTGTGAGAAAGTGATGCGTTTTTGCGAATCCCCTTACAGAATAAACAAATAAATTAAAAAAAGGAAAAATAAAAGTGCCACGCGACAAACAAAATGCYTTGCACATGTTCTCGTGACATTTTGAAACATATAATTAACACGCACATCTCAAAAGTGAAGAGCGTTTTCTGTAAGTGCGTATTTACTGTAAATTATCGTGTGCTCAGATTTATTTTCAGTCTTATTTTTTTTTCAAATGACCGTGCCACACAAACTGAATGGCTTGTTGATTCCTCATATTATGTAGACATACTTTAGTTGCCAGCAACAAAGTCCTTAAACATGTTGACCATCTTCTTTTACCCTCTCTAAACCTTTAAATAATCAAATCTTCAAGCCGTCAGTCACAACAGTCATTGAAAATATTAAGAAAATTAAGAAATGCATTTTATTTCTTAGGAAACTATTTGATTTTCAATGTGTTATTTTACAAAAAACTGCAACTTTTTCATAAACTAATCATACCTCTATCAGACCATACATAGATTTTTTTGATAAATAAACAAATGTCTCTAATATTGCTGAACACTGTAAATATAAACACATTTTTACAGAAATATTCACCATTGCAAAAAAAAGTCATGACAAAAATGCCAACGCTATACATTTAATTTGTTCATCTAAAGTGAATATATACACAAAGTGCAAGCAGGCACTTTAAACGTGGTTATATAAGCTGCTGCTTATATAAATAAATGATAAATAAATAATCCAGTTTTCAGCTAGCTGTAGTTCCTACACTAACACTCAAAATATGTAAAAACTACATTCAGTGACCTTGTTGTTACAGTGTCAGATTTATGCAAGTGCTGGAGGCAGACTTTAGTGTGCACTTGTTAAACAGACCTGACCATTGCTAATTAACTCTAAGTGCAATTATCAGCTTGTTATTTATATGCAAATATGCAGTAAAAACTCTGCAAAAACCCCAAATACTATCATGTGTGAAAAGGCCCAGCCATCCTCACTTGACAAGTTTAAAAGTGGGGTTGATTTATTTCCCTTCATTAGAATTTCAACCTAAACATTCTAGAGAAATGATGAAGTCCAGGACGTGTTTAAATCATCTTGGTGGCCACACTCTGCAGGTCAGTCAAGGCAAGATTGTCACGAATAAATGCAAAAAAAAAAAAAAAAAAACAGTTTGAAATAAAAACTGACTTGCTCTTTTCCTCCCAGGAACACTAACACAATGATTACAAAGCATTTCCAGAACACACAAGCATATATATAAATAAATATGTACAGGTACTGAAAGGACATCCTTATTGCACTCCAGTTTAGCTTTGTTGTCTTCAACACATTCTGTACTGTTTGTTGCCACTTTTAGAAGCCACTCCCTCTCTTAAGTCCTAAGCTTTGCTTCTTAGGCTTGACCATGTGTGACAGTCAGGTATAATCCTATAAATCAAACAGTCATTTAGTAAAGCAGCCTGTTAGACTCCCAGTGACTTCAACTTGTTACTTTTTCRTACTGTTCGTCCTTGTTTCGATCTTCACTGGGAGAGAGTCACATTTCCTTCATCTTTATTGTTTCTTTTATCCTCAAGCCATAAAGATATTCAATACAAAAAGAAAAACAAGTTGTTGCTGAACAGAATAAGAAAAAAAAATYCTTAATGAAAGGGGAAAAAAATGTAGAAGCCACAAGTAAGACCCTGGGTAAAGTCAGTTGTTTAATTCATCTGCAGTCATGCATAAAATGCACACGTTTTCTTGTGTTTATGCCGATGTATGATCCGCTTCAATGTGCTAATACAAGATGTCCTCCAGAAGGGTAACTGACTTCTTTCAAAAACCTGCTGACAGTTGCCTCTTCCTGTAGAGATCACCCCTTTGGTGTTTACGTAAATGAATGTTTTCCTTGTTGGCGTTCATTTTCTGTTAGCTGTGGTCTCAGAAGGATAACGTTGGTGAAACTCTGGGGGGAGGTGCCAAATCTGCTTTACCTGAAGTTCCATGGTTCTTCATCAACATGGGAAAAGTCCTGAGTGGTGCCATTTGTAACCTGCAAGCAATTATCAAGGACATCTAATTGGCCCAAGGCACCTTTTTATTAAAATATATTTATATATAAACCATCATTGGTTGGGGATAGAGAAGCCATGGCTTCATTACATTCAGGCCATTGACCCTTTGGACTGACTTTAATTTGTTAATCCCCAAATGAAATCAAGTACGCACATCGTTTCACAAAGAGATGATGATACAGTGATATAACATCTTTGTTACTAGCACTGCAAAGAAATATCATTATAAGAGATGGCCATGTATTTTATGGATTCTCTCCCAAACCAAATTACAACATGTTACTAAAAAGGCAGTGAAATATCAACCAAAGTTACTGATTGGATTTAAACTGAGCTACAGGAGAAAAAACAAAAACATGCATTTCACAAATGTAATGCATTGTTTTAGTTGAATCAGCAGTCTTTATGTATACCACTGGCTACATATGTTTTTTTTTTGTTTTGTTTTTTTTAAATATAGCCAGTCATTAAAAAAATGCAATTTGGTCAAGGCTGCCATAAATACATGTCCAATTAATTAGACAAAATTAATGAAATCAATAAAACTTAATAATGACATACATACTACAAAAAATAAATAAATAAAATTAAATAGAAACATACACAAGAAATCACATCGGGGGAAATGTCTGCTTTAAAAAAATCCTTTGGATTCAAATACTTCTTGAATGTGATKAGTGATAAGTTAAACATGTTAATGTATACAAAAAATGCTTTGTTGAACCTGGTATCACAAAAACTGCTTCTTCATACAATGCATTGGTGAATAAATAAATACTTACATATTTATTTAAGCTGTCACCACTTGAAACATATTTTCATTAATGAAAATATAATTTTTTATATATATAATCTCCAAACATAGAAAAGGAATACAAGTCACACACGAGAGAGAAAAAAAAAAAGACCAGCACAGAGCTGAGGGTGGTTTTCTACATACAAGTCTCTATGTCCGTTAAAGTGAAATGTACCTTGCAGTCGTCTATCAAGATTGAGTTGTGGTGAGCATATACATTCTGATTGGTATTGTTTTCAAAGTAGGACTGTGTCTTTGCCATCTCAATGTCATCCATCCGGTTCTGCTGAGCGTCAAACGTGTCAAGCTCGTCTTTGGAAAGATGGTAGACGATTCCTGCTCCATAGGAGTCCCCGACCACATTAACCGAGGTACGGAAACGATCGCTGTGTGTTGACGGAAAAAGAGACCAAAAATAAATAAGATATGCAGAAATGATTTACACTTGCAAAAAGAAAACATTTTCCCTAAGGAAATAAACAAAAAATGTTATTGTAATTTTTTGTCGTGTAGATACAACCCCAATTGGGACAAAGTTGGGACATTGTGTAAAGTGCAAATAAGAATAGATTGCAATGATTTGCAAATGACATAAACTCATGTTTTATTCACATAGTGAGCATATTGATTGTTTAAAAAAATAAAATGCATCTTATTTATTTATTTATTTATTTATTTATTTTTTGCAAAGCAGCAACATATCTAGGTGGTAATCATGACATCAAAAGCCTGGACAAATATGTGGTTTGAATAAGAAGCAGCTGAGGAGCATTTTGCAAATGTTTTGGTTAGAACTGGCAACATGTCCTTTGGAGGTTTGAGTACAAAAAGAGCCAATTTAAACAGGCTGAATATTGGTATTTAAAAGAGAAACTGGAGAATCTCCTCTGTGGAGGACAAGAACAATATCGGATACCCCCGATCGTCAGGTCTTGAGGCAGTACTGCATTAAAAACACATCTAATTCTGTTACGGTCTTCACTGAATGGGTTCAAGAACACTTCCATAAATGAATGTAAACACAGTTCACTGTGCCATCCAAAAATGTTGGTTAAAGCTCTATCATGCAAAGAAGAAGCCATATGCAAGGAAACAACATGTTTAGGTCAGACTAATTTAAATGAAAAAATGTAATTTTGGAAACCATGTGTTCTGTACTAAAGAAGAGAGGGACCATCTAGGTTGTAATCACTGCACAATTCAAAAGTCTGCCTCTCTGATGGTATAGGGGTGCATTGGCATAGGCAGTGTGTGCATCAGGAAAGGGTACCACTTTACTATAAGGCTCCCCTTATAGACGGCTTATAAACAATTTATACAGAAGATATTAATTCATCTGTAAACACTCTATAAATCATTAATAAGTGTTTATTATGCATTAACTGAGGACAATAAAAAGACAAACCTGTCTGGTTTCTTGCTAAATGTTGAGCCAAATCTGTTCATGTACATATTACTTATAAAGGTTTATATTAAACATTTCAGACTAGGTTACTACCTTGTAAGAACAATTATGTATTGTAAGCACATATTTTACCTAGAATGTTGTACCGTATTACTGCATTATACATAATTATACATGACAACAATTATCAAAGTCAGCCTTAGGTTAAAGTGTAAGAGAGTACACTATTTATTACTGACTAATAAATGTCTATAGATGTCATAAAGGAGCTGTTTTGCAATTTACAATAAGGCTCCTTTTGGTAGTTGTGGATAAGTATGATGCAGAAATTCAGTACAATATTATATGTAAAATATGCGTTTCATATACATTATTGTTCTTACAAGGTAGTAACCTGTTTAGTATAGCCTCATTAGATGTAATATGTACATAAACAGATTTGGCTCACTATTTTGCAAGAAACCAGGCAGGTTTATCTCTTTCTCATCCTTAATTAATGCATAATAAACACTTATTAATGATTTATAATGTGTTTATAGATGAATTAACAACCTGCATTTAAACAATTTCTAAGCCATCTATAAAGGGAGCCTTATTGTAAGGTGATTCCCAAGAAAGTCACAGTTAATGCAAATTATAACAACAACAACAACAAC